AAAGAAAAAAAAAATGACGTGTTAACATCCTTTTAAATGTTTGGTATCTAGAATTAAATGAATTTGTAAGAAATCTAGTTATGCAGTCATTAAATTTGAATGTTTCGTGTTTGCAGCCCAAGAACGAATACGACACAACAGGGAGAACCATGTACTTAAGAGCCTGCGATAAACTAGGGATTGTGCCAGCGTCCTACTTTGTGCGTCACATGATACAACCTGACATGACCATGATGCATCACGGCCTGGGTCCTGCAGGAATCCACGCTATTGCACTGGCATTGGTGTACAACACCACCATTACCAGCCTTAACATTCGAGATAACGGAATAGGAGATACTGGAGGGGAAACGATAGCAAAATTACTACGAGAAAATTATTATATAACTGAACTGGACATATCTGAGAACCAGATAGAGCTTGGTGGATGTTACGAGATGGCGGAGACACTAAAAATCAACGATACTCTCACGAAACTTAGCATGGCTGGGAACAACTTACAGGACAAGGAAGCCGAGATTCTGTTACACGCTATTATGACTAATTCAACCATCACGTACCTTGATTTAAGCAACAACAAACTCTCAAACAAGTCATGTGAATGGTTTGGGAAACTCTTAGATGAAAACTGTACTATCACATTTATTGATTTGAGTTGGAATCATATTCAGGTTGCGGGCGCACAGATACTTGCCCGAGGTGTACGAGGTAACATGATGTTGAAGACGTTGAAGCTGGCATGGAATGGCATCATTGATGATGGTGCAACAGCCTTTGCTAAAGCTTTAATAGACAACAGAGTATTAACAGAACTAGACCTGGGTAGCAACAGAATCACTGATCATGGTGCTAAAGCTTTGGTGCGGACACTTCTAGTTAATAATTCTCTAGAGATTTTAAATCTTGGAAAAAATAACATCCAAGAAGATGGCGCATGCGCTCTTCTCCGTGCAGTAATGAACAGTTCAGATTCAAAGATTGCAAAGTTAGACCTGACCGGTGCGAGGATTAACGACGAATTTCATCAAATATTAGAAGAGTTTGAAAACCAAGAGCGCAATGTTACTATAGTAACCGATCATGCCCCAGAATCTCGACCAAGATCAGAAACACCAGACCCGAGCACCCTTTTGAGAAACTATCTAGCTAAGGAACACGTACGAATAGTTGACTTGTTTAGGAAGCTAGACCGCGATCAGAGTATGCAGGTTAGTGTCCGGGAATTCGTGGAGGGTCTGAGGAACTCTGATGTTGGGCTCACTACATTCGAAGTCGAGAAAATGATTGAAGCTTTAGATGTGGACGATGATGGTGAGATTGATTATAGTGAGTTTGTGTCGATACAAGGAATGTGGCAAAAACCAGAAACGAAGCACAAAAATGATCGGAGAATGTCTAAAAAAGTTTAGAAGCAAAACAGGTGCCTAATGTAGCTAATAGTTTAATAGTTTTGCACCATTAAGGGCCAAATGCAAAGGAATAATATGGTGTCAATGCAAAGTATACACTTGTTCACTTCATAGTGAATGGAGCGGAGCAGAATGGTTTGGAAACTCCATAAAACAAAGCTATTGTTTTGCGTTTGATGTTGAAACGTACCATCACGTGATACTGACCCTGCACTATGGACCAAAGCAAGTATGGCTGAAAATACTCATTTCCTTATTATTTTCATGTATGAACATTTTGAAAGTGAAAACTTTCATTCGATGACCAAAAACCATGCGAATAAATATTTCCGCGCAGATACAGTTAAGTTACTAGATGATAAATAAGAAAACATGAAAAAAGGCAATTTCCTTTTCAATAACAATTTGTATTAATCATATAGGATTAACTAACAATTAAAACACTCATTAATAAATCATAAGCTTATGGTCCAATTCGAGCCACCATACACGTCACGTGCATGAACCTTTATACCCGATAAAGTCCTCTTCATTAGTATTCAAGTGATTTTATATAGACACATGTGTCTTTATATAAAGACACGTGATGTTTATATAAAGACCACTCGAATACTATGAGGATGACTTCATCAGGGATGAAGTATGCATCCAAGTTTAGATGAAGACTTAGAGCTTCATCAAGGTCATAGTCAACCCTAATGATCTTTGACTAACGTGCCTGTCTTTGCCTTGGCACGCAATATCCAACGTGTGGGAGCTTATATTGAATCTGGTTTCGCATGCCCGTGACGTCAAATCTCTATCGAAGTATAAAAATCCATGTTCGTGACGTGTATGGTGACTCCAGTTGAACCAAAATCTTATAAATTCTTCATGAGTGTTTTAACCAGTTCAAAAAACTCGTAGATCGTGTTTTATCAGGTATAAAAGCACTCGGCTACGCCTCGTGCTTTCATACCTGATAAAACACTCCTACTCGTTTATTAAACAGTACATAATAAGTATTTTAGAACGTTTTTTAGGGTTAAAAACTTTTATATTCTCGAATACTATGAACAAATGGAGAAACTTTTCCTTCACTGTGCACTGTCAACGTCATATAACAATGGATAAAGTCGAACAAAAACAGAATAGGTTTCCCAACCATTTCGCTCCATTAACTATGTTCACTTGTTGCCGTCCTTTTTTTCTGACATTCAGGAACTCGACAATTTTGCAGCATCAAATTATAAGAAAATCTGTACATTAATTAATTAAATCTACTTAGACACCGAAAAGATTACTAGGATTTTATTGACAAAAAAAATGTTACTTATATACATCACTGCTATTTGTCAAAAGTTATTAATAGACGTCGAAGAATAAAGGTTTTAGTAATTCTTTGTGAACCCGGCATATTTTTACCAGTTGATTATAATTTTAAACATTAGAAATTGTGTACAAGAACACATCTGCAATAAATTGCTGGCGATCAACCAAAATATACTGAAATTCATGTTTTAAAACCAGTGAACTTCCAGTGTTCAGCCATTGTACACTAGGATCCCTCCGCTCTTGTCTGTCTATTTGTCTGTCTGTCACACACTTCCAAAACAGCTCTTCTATTATCTGCATTCATAACCGGCTTTTCATTCTTGATCGTCATTTTTCAATGGGTTTTCTTTGTACCTTCCATGATAAATACATTGTTCTGCGGGTTATCCCTTTTCAATAATAACTTGTCTGATTTGCTATTCATTTTTTTGTTTGCATTTTCTTTCAATGCCCCATTTGAGGGTTTCCACTGATAATCCATTCAACAGTATCTTGCAGAAGTGTCATGTTGTAGTGCCTGTAAGTTTAATAAAACAGGAAAGACTCAATACATGTGACATTCCCCTAGTTTACGAAAAAAATATCAAATTGATGCATGATGATAATGATGATGATGATGATGATATTAATACCAGCGCTTATTTATGAATATGAACAAGATGATACTTCAATCAAAAACATTTCAAAATCTGGGAAGAGGGCCGGAGTCTACTGATGTTACCTTGCTATGTTTTTAAAGGTCTTCATTTTCTCAGTAAATTCGGCAAATGGCAAAGTTAAGGTGAATCCTCCAGCACATTTACAATATTTTGACATATTGGCGTCTTTAATCTGAAATGACAAAGTGAGGATGATATTAGATGACGGCGATATTCCAACAGGTCGCAATATTTGAATCACGCGAGATGTAGAATGTTCTGCAATGGCATATCAAACTCATGAGAAAGCTTTTCTGAATGTTACAAAAACAATTATTTACCCCTTTACACTTGGCGCACTTTAGGTCTTGTAACACGTACGCCATTGATCTTTTCTGTACTGCAGAGATTAACTGGTGCTCGATAGCGTCCATGTCATATTCATTTTGACAGTTTGGACAGTGACACGAGGCACTGAAAAAAAAACAAACAAAAAAACCCACATTTTAGTATTTTTGTGACAGTTCTGAAAAAGAAACGACAAAATAGTAGAGTGTATTAGTTTTGTGCCTCCCTTAGAGGTGGCGTTATTAACGGAGCACAAAAGAAAGGGTCAAGCCTGTCTATTGGTTGTAGCTGCCATTAATACTCACGAGTTATTTCCATCGGCTGGTACGATATAAGGATCCCGACAAAGGTCCAGATCACGACAAGCATTGCAAAACTGACATATTACCTGTAACCAAGCAAACACAATACTAAGTGATATTACTTATAATGATATAGATATACCCGTCCAATGTCCCATCCAGCCCAGAACACTAGGTCTATAACACCTAAGAGACAAAGCTTGGGTTTTCTGTGGATAAATGATATGTCTACTGTGCAGAAAGCCGAAAAAAAAATCGATATTCAGGGTCGTCCTTCATGAATTTGCAAGATGTGATCCTATTGGAGGGCACACATGTGTAGAACAATAGAAAACAATGACCTTTCCCCAACCCCGCCCCTAAACCTAACCAATCACAGGAGACGTTGCAAATTCGTGAAGCCAGATTTTGCAGTGTACTATGGCGCGTTTTCGGGTTCAAAATTAGATATGTGTAGCTTGTGCCAATTACTTTTGAATTCATATCTTTTTACCGCTTATTACTTACGAAAACATGTTTGTTTCACTCAAATTACCTTTGAAAACATGTAACCTAGAAGACAACTGACTTTTGAAACTATTCTTGTGTAAATTATTTTTGAATTCATATCTTTCACCACCATGTATTACTTGCAGAAACACGGATTACTTTTGAAACACGTCTTTCG